CCCCCCCACCCCCACCCCCATTGACTTCAGATGGAGCCAGGGATGCTCAGAACTTCTCTCCTAGTTTTACGCTGCTGCCCATCACTGCATTATGTGAGGGCCGTGTCGTCAATAGTGACCTACTTAATCAGATGGAGCCAGGGATGCTCAGAACTTCTCTCCTAGTTTTACGCTGCTGCCCATCACTGCATTATGTGAGGGCCGTGTCGTCAATAGTGACCTACTTAACTAGTGGCAAGGCAATGCCATTTTTGCAGCTCTGTCCTAGCACAAAGAGCCTATTTCCTGGGCATTTTGTGGCAGCCCCACCCCTTGGCGCTGCTTGGTGGAGAGGCCCAGCTCCCCAGCACTAATTGGCAGAGAGGCCCGGGGGCAGGGGGAAGGAGGAATGAAGGGGTGACCACCATCTTGACTGCTGGCTGCCCTCTCTCTGGCCCTACCCTTCGGCGCTAATTGTCAGAGTCCCTGACATGGGGGAGGAGAGCAGAGGATCTTGTCTGCTGCCCCTGTCATGCTGCCCCGCCAGCTGGTGCCTTCCCCTCCCAGGTGAGCTGTGAGGCCCACCCAGGAGGGGAAGACTTAATAAAAATTATTTTATTAAGTTTTGGGGGTTTTTTTCATGGATGTCATAGGCAACTCTGGATTTCACAGGCACCCCAAAATGTTGCCGTTCCTGTGAAATCTGTGAAATTGTGATTTAGATACGTCCCTAGTCATTAAGTCTCCACTGAGAATCAGGCCAAAGCTGCCACAAGTTAGACCCCGAATTTGGGCATTTGAAATCCATGGTCATATTAATATCTAGCTAGATATTTACTCCAAGTCAAATCAGGGATAGAAGTGGATATAGATACAGGAATCCTGATTCCCAGCTCTCTGTCATAACCAGTACACCCCTCCTTAAGCCAGAATTGTTCTTCCTACCTTCATTGTATCTCCTTCACATCTCCCCTACAGCACGATGCCATGCAGCTATCCAGAAAGATACCTCTCTAGATGTAGAGCAGAAGAATCACACAGGTAAACATGACATCCCATTTTTTCCAACAGCATTTCATTTCTCTCCCCCTGCTCATGCAACATCCATCTATGGCTTCCTGGCACTGCCCTCCATCGCATGTTCAGGGGTTCTTGTTTTATTCATAAACACATGATATCTTGTTATACTTTGCTGTTTCCCCTCACAGGCTCCCATGCCTTCATTTGTTTGTCACTCTGATACTTCAGGGGTCTTGAAAATACTTTTGATGAATGGCATTTTACAAAAGTAATGAGAAAAATGAAAGGGCCACATCAAAAGTTAGCTCAGATTTCCACATTCATCACAAATTGCCACCATCCACATGGAGATATCAGTGTGAAGCCAACTGTGTGTTACAGACTGACTCCATGAAACACTTGCACTAAGTAACTTGTAGCTGCGTGATTCATTTACCTCTGTATATTACACCTAAGCATCACTGCAATGGAGTGAAACACTGGGCATGCATAAAAACTAGATATGAAAGGCCTGGGATGTGCTTAGAAACCCAAAATGTCTATTGTCCCCCTCTAGAAGATCAGCAGTTGAATTCAATCGTGAACTCAGTCTAAGACTTGGAGAACTTCTGCATCTGATGGATGAGCATTGCAATAATTGCATAAGTGCTTTTATGTAATGCCTATTACCATATTGTCTGGCCACCTCACATTTATTTATAAAAGCTCCAGGAATATAAAGCAAGCAGCCACATTGGAAGGAAATATTTAAATTGGCCTTGCAGCAGGATGACAGCATGCCTTCATTCGTATAATCACATGGGACTGAACTCCAAAACCTGAGTGATCCCTTTCAGGTCACTCTTCCTATGCCCATCAGTGCATTCAACACCATCCTATCTGATAAGAGGCATCTTATACTTTGTCTTGACTCTTGCCAAATATGAAGGGTGCTAAAAGTCAATACAAATAAAGCCACCTTGTTCAGAAAGCACTGTCACTGGCTCTCAAGAATTCTCTCCTGGATCTGAGACCTTGCAAAAATCCCTGCTGATCTTGAACTGGCATGGAAAAATATGAGTACAGTGCTGCTTTTTCAGCCAGCCAGTCTATACAAGTCTCTATTGATTGCAGACAGCACCTAGAAACAAACAGATAGCAAATGGGTAGGGAGAAGCATGGGTGTTACTCCCAAGACGCTTTATACTTGTCGACAGATCAACATTCTGTCCCCACCCTGTTGAACTTGATGACATATACGCTATTTTATGTACGGCGTTTTAGCATGTGTAAAAATAGGTCTCATTGGCATGGCTGAAACAATGCTAAGAGTTCAGATAAGCACTGTGACAATTGAGAGGGAAATTAAGGGGGGAAGGGAGTTCTCCTGAGCAATGAACAATATCAAGCGAGCTTTGAGCTGCCAACTTCTGCTGCTGAAATCAAATGCGCTGGCAACAAGCCACCAGAGTACATAGAACAAGCAGCAGCTGGTAAAGTAAAAGTACATTAAAAATGCATTAAGTAAGCAAAGCAAAAGCAGAGCAGAATCTAGTAGGCACAATTTTCATGTGATTTATTTATCAGAGGAAAGTTAAACTTGGATTCCAGGCCCAATGTGCCATTGCGCTCTCCCTCGTGTATTCCTTTGTGCTGCTGGCAGGGGTATGTAAGATGATGCTAAACCAGAATGATTACAGGGTGTAGGTTGTAGCTGTGTTGGTCTAAGGACATAGGCAGACAAGGTTCTTTGGGTGAATCTGATATCTTTTATTAGACCAACTTAAATAGTTGGAAAACAATTATTAAGCAAGCTTTCGGGTTCAAAGGGTTTTTAAACCAGAATGATTACAATTTTTACAGCCCATGTTAGGGAAGACCAGCATAGGCAGTCAGTCCAAGTGGATCATGCTAGGTCAAGGATTTATCAGAGTTGGAAGCCCAGGTCAAGCTGGGTATCCATCTGAGTCCAGGATATCAAGCCAAGGGTCAAGACAAAGTTATGGTCATGGCAAGAAGCTGATCAAGCTGTGAGGTCCAAGACAGGAATAGGCAGGAGGGTCCAGTACATGAATTCCAGAGTCATAAGCCAAAGTTATCGAGCCTAAGTCAGAGTCAGGATCAAGCACCAAAGTCAGCATAGAGGAGTTGCAAGCAGGCCAGCAGCATAGAGGCACCCTAAACAGGAGAGGCGCTCTTACTGTAGCCTTTGAAGATGACTCAGCCCCAATCTCCTACTTACTTCCAGCTGGGACCTGGAACTGGATCTGCCCATCTGAGCCAAGGCTAATTACAACCCACTCTGTGTGGGTGTAAATGATGATACAAGAGAACCAGGCCTTGTTCCACATGCAGTTTTCACTTCATGGCAGTGCTGACTAGCTGTAATGCGCAGAGGCGACTTGTGGAACTCATTGCCATACGATACTGTGAAAGCTGACTGTTTAACTCTGTTCAAAAGGGAATTGGACAAATTCATGGAGGAAAGGGCCATCAGCGGGTGTTGAACATGGTAGGTAGAGGTGCTGCCTTTGGATCAGAACTTCCTAAATCTGAATGCTGGAAGCTGCAGTGAGGTTTGGAGCAGCGCGTGGAAAATACTGGACGTGCCCTGTCTACCTTGCCCCTTAGCATCTACTCTCTGCTGCATGAGACAGGATGCTGAGAGAGATGGACCTCTGACCCAGTTGGTGGCAGTTCTTACGACTGAAGCGTTGCAGGTAGACCTGTGCCATCAGTTGTATACCCACACAAACATTACCTGACCCCAGTGTCCCTGCTGGATTTTTTTGTTTATTGCTAAGACTAGTTTCCCCAGCATTGTAGAGGTGGCTCTCAAGGAATGATGGACAACATCAATTTCTTGTCAATGGCCTGACTCAATAAAGGCAGCATAGGGTGCAAGGAGAAGAAAATAGGGGGAAATGGTCATGGGTGATTCCAAAGTCTTGTTTGCTATGATTCAATGCATCTTTGATAACTGGCACCTCTTCTGGCAACATCAGATTTGTTTCCGAATCTGTATGCTTTCCTCAGGTAGTTTTCCCTTCCGTTTCTCAAACAAAGTGCTGTCAATATTGGAAAGTTGCTAAAAGCACAGTTTAGATTAACTGCAGATGGGCTGGATTTTGATCCCCTCATGCATGTTAAATCACTCTTTGAAGAGCCCCAGTGATCACACACTGCCCCAGAATATTAATGATAACACTGCCACTTCTGGCAAATACTCTGTGCTAAGCTCATGCACAGCAACAGTGTTATGAGTTTGGATTTTAGCAGTGAGCAAAGAATCCCTTGTTTCTTATCTAGAGCCTGCTTCTATAAGCCCCTTGCCTTTACATGGGTTTTTTTTTCCAAAATTGAGACCTAGTTATTGACAGATTTCTTTAAGAAAGCATGAACATGTTTTATGATAAAAGGGCTGTGTTTCATATGAAATAGTATGTTCCAGCACATAATTCACTCTAAGGCAACAAAAGGCAGAAAAGGGGTTCTCTAGATACTTATGTTTATCCTTAGAAGTGGGAGTTTTTTTCTTGTTTATTTGTTTTTGGGGTTTTTTAGTGATATAAAACAAGGCCAAATCTAGTGAGTTTCAGATCAGTTCCCATTTACACCCAATGAAATCCATGGATTTATATTGTTTTTTACTTCAGCGGCAGGATTCATCCCAAGTTGCATCTACTGGGAAGAAGGAGGCTGAGTTTTGCTGTTCTGTGGTTGTCACATACGTTCATTATTTCTGAGAGCTAAGCCCAATTGCTGCCCCTCTGCAGAGCTGGGGCAGATCCGGTCTCTTTCTAAATGAATGGATCCAGCACTGCAACTCTTTACAGTATTATCAGGAGAACTCCACAGTCCAACCTGATAATCTAATGTAAGCTCACCTTATACTCTGCAACATTATTCAAAGCCATTTAAATGACACTACAAAACAGAGGTGATGAAGTCTGTAATGAAATCTCAAGATTGCTTCAGAGAAGGGTTGCAAAGGGGGATGGATAGTGGGCAATATCCACTGAGTCCCTTACTATACAGTTCTGAGGCCTTGTTTCTCTCTTGCCTAAATCCCCAGTAGTTGAAGCTGACAAATTTATCAGACTTTATGACATGCGACACACACAAAATGGCCTGAGACCTCTTGACTGCTTGCTGCCACTCTATCAGAATAATTTATACGTTTATTCCCCATCCTGGATACACTCAGAACTAAACCTCCCAGGTGAAATTGCACTGATTTTAAAGCTAGCTGTAAATCCACTGACCTTTGTAACCTGTGGGAGAGTGCGGGGGTTTGCTTCATCTTTTGAGGGAAAAAACACCCAACCCAAAGTACATTGACTTGTTTGGCATTAAGAAAAAAGGACTGAATTTCCAAACTCAGCGGTTAAAGATGAAAATCTTATTGCACACTCTTTTTTTCTCTGCAGACAACAAAAAACTCCTCAAATCCTCCTTTCATTCTCCTAATGTAGTGGTGCTCAACTCCTTGGTGCTGTGGGCCAGATCAGTGGCACAGGGCTTGTCCCTGTGCTCCATGCTGCCAGATGGAAACCACACACCACCTCCCTAAGCTCTATGCTTCCTCTGCTCAGCCCCCTGCTGCAGGATTGGGCCCTAGACCTCCTCCAGGCAGCAACTATTATGGGTGTCTTTACACATGCTCCAGGCTGGGGGTTGGGTGGGGAGGGGGTTCTTGAGAACCACTCTAATTAAAGCGCCTGCACTGTCTTGTGTATTCAGCATCCTGTGCTTCGAAATGATGGTGGGGGAGTTTTAACTAAAGCTCATGCAATGAGCTTTAGTTAAAGCGCCCCCGCTGCCATTTTAAAGTGCAAAGACACTAAATATATGTGACACTGAGGCTGCTGGAGTGTGCTAATTAGCAGACTCCAGCAGACTCGATTAATCGACATGCATCAGAACAGACGTTGGATACACGTATAGGTGCCCTATGTGCCCAGACCAGGCCCTGGGCCACCACTGTGCACCAATCTAGTGTGCTATCTGGTCTGTAGTGCTCCCCACAGGTCTGGAAGTCT